ATATATAGTTAAAGATTTGTAAAATTCTATTCATGCTAATTGTTTGAAAACGCTCTTAAAAATTCAAAAAATGTAAAAAACTTTAAGAGTGGCACAAGTATAAATAGTCATCCAAAACTAAAAATAAAAAAATTTCATTGAGAGAACAATACTTTAGGAATATCTTAAGACACTCCATGCATTAAAATTTTTTCATGAGGGTCAAGATGGGATGGGCAAATCAATAACATATAAATAAGATTTTAAAACTAATTACAATGTTATAAAAAAATATAATAAAGCAAAAACAATAAATAAGCAAGAAGTACATTGTATTCAATTTTAACACAATTTTTAATTTAAATTTTGAAATACCATTTTTTAAATACCGTAAATTTAATAAAAAAAAAAAACATGATCAATTATTTATTTATAATGAGGACATGAAAAAGTGAAACAGAATGTTAAATGAGGTTTGTTAATACATATACAAAAAGTAAATTTTATTATAACATACTTAGGATTAGTATTAGAAACCACTTCATCCATTTTCACAAGCTTAACATAACAACAACCCTCTGCCGGATAAACTTAAACTTCAAACGAAACCTATGTTATAGTATAAAAGTGGAATTTTATGTTAAAATTCCACTTTTATACTATGTTATATAACCTATGTTATAGTATAAAAGTATAAAATTCCACTTTTATACTATGTTATAGTATAAAAGTGGAATTTTCTTAGGTAACTATAAGAAAATGTTTCTTTATTAGCTAGATAATTTCTATTGTCCTAAGCCCTAGGCAGGCAAACATATATATTTTAGCTTAAACATATTTTAATACATAGTTTAATATTTAAAAATGTAAGAGCAAAAACCTTAGCTATGTTACTAAAAATAACAGCAAATTGTTTTAAAAAATTTTATGCATGACATTTATCTTTGCTGTAAAAATGAAACAAATAATTACCTTTTTATTAATAATTTACACTAATTCTTTATAATTAGTTTTATATTATTAACTATACTACTTAAAATATATCTAAAATAGCATACATCAACTGACTTAAACAGTGATTGGCACATTGGAGCGTTCATGCGTTGACTCAAGGTTTTGGTTTTAACAGACAGTCTATTTATTTAAAGCTTATAAACTTTTCCATGCCTTGTTCCCAAAAAATTTTCATTTCAATAATCAGGGTTATTGTCATTGTTTTTTTTATTATTAAAATTTTTTTTAACTATTAACACCCCATTTTATATTTATTTTTATTACAATTTTCATCTAACAACTATTGCATGTAATTAGACACCAATACTTTTTTTAAGCAATCTTATATTTAAAGTTATTTAAAGTTACGTAACTACTAAAAACTAAGGTTTTTTCTCATATGTTTTTAAATGTATAACTAACAATATTGCTAACATATACGTTTTTCTGGCTAGAAGTTAGAACTGTAGAAAGTGTCTTGTTAATGAGAAAACATCTACTAGTTACTTAAATAACATGTATAAAATTCCACTTTTAAACATTAAATATGTAATGTTACAATTTTTAAAAGTTTATGGGATTCTGGCAGGGGGTTGTCAACATTAAAGATAATCCCATAGAAAATTACAATAAAACTCCACCTCATAAATTTTAGCTGGTATTTTAAACACCTTTATTATCTGTTACGTGCCAAAGCAACTATCCTCTAAAGTACATAATTGACCATCGTTTCTACTTGTGTTGAAGCAATACTGTTAGGACTTTTAATCTTTCATAAAGTAACAAATGTCTTGTGGAATTAGACATATGTTATTTAATTAAGTCGTCTCTCATTATATTTACAAATGACCGTTAAGGTAACTGCCATTCATAACATCTCATTCTTATTAAAGTTTTCTGAGTTTATCATTGAATTAAAAAAAAAAACACCAGATAAAAAAATAAATAATAACATTGCAAACATAAATTGTTAATATGTATTAACTATTGATTCATATAATATCTCAAAAGTTAAATTTTAACACTTTTAAAAAATATGAGTTAAAGATAAATATAAGTTTTCCAGTCTTGATAAAAATTAAAAATAAACTCAATACCTTACCGTAACATTCTTTTATTTCAGAGTGGTTACCATCACAACCATCAAGTGTATTTGAATTATTGCAATCTCTTGTTCTGTTCATAAACCCATATGTAGCATTACAACTGGTCCAAATGCTCCATTGTGAGCAATAAGCTAAAGTAAGAAAAGAATTTTTAAAAATTCAACTATTAACCAATAAATAATTTATCTTCATTTCTTTATTTAAAACAAAATAAATTTAAACAAATTCTAAAAACATTTTATTAAAATTTTTTATCATTATTAACTTCTTTTAGTTTTCTTATTTTCTTTTTTTTTTTTACTATTTTTGTAAAAACTTTGTTTGTCATTATTGTTTATTACTTTCATTACTGCTGTTTTTATTATTACTATTATTATTACAATTACTATAAATACTATTATTTTTGCTGTTATTTTTTCTTTGTAAATAAATAAAGTTATTATTGTAATTATGACTTTTATTTTTTAAATTAATAATATTAATACAATAATTTGGTGTCACTCCTTTGACCAGGATTCTGCATGAGTGATTTCTTCCTCAATTAATTATTTATACAAATTTTAAATAATTTTTTTTTGATTTTATCATTTATAAAATTACAGATATTCATATTTTTATTATTTTTTATTATTACTATTGTTGTTATTGCTATTGTTATTATTGCTACTATTATTGTTATTATTATTATTATTATTATTATTATTATTATTATTATTATTATTATTATTATTATTATTATTATTATTATTATTATTATTATTATTATTATTATTATTATTATTATTATTATTGTTATTATTAATAATAATATATTATTGTAATTATATAATTGAAAATTTTAAGGAAAATAAATACCACATTATTGTTTGTTGTTGTTTTGCAAAAAAAACTTTTATTTTTGTTTTTTTTATTTTGTTTTTTAATTTATGGATTTTATTTTTTTTATTTTTTTGAGTTTTAGTTTTTTCAAATTAAAAAAACTTATTACATGTTTTTTTGAAATTTTTTATTATGTCAACAATTAATACAAAATTTTAAATAATTGTCTAAAAAATAGTTTGAATTATTTTTTAAACAACAAGTTACTGAACCAACCTTACTAAACATACAGAATGTTTATTAACACCGTAAGTTTAGTAACTCTGTCAGTAGTCGGAGTTCAGTAACACTGACTAGAATAAACTCTTGTCTTTGACTTTAAGTCATAGATTATTTTGCATCACATATTTGATTTTTGAGATCTAAATTATGGGAAATAAAAACTAATTTAAATACTTTGTCATTTGATAATCAGGGACCAGATTTACCCTGGTGGGGCCCCTATACCATGTTGATGCGGAAGACAAATTCTGGGCTGTGATTTCCAGGAAATTTTTTTTGAAATTAAAATTTCAAGAACTTTATTTAGAAATAACCTAGCAAAATTCATCTTTTATAAATTTTTTTTTATTCGGATAAGACTTTGTTCTTGATTAAAAGTCTACTATAATTAAGTCATCAATATTGTTTGTTTGTTTGGTTTATTCATGATCAACAAAATATACAAGTTATTGACAAAGAGTGGCACACCAGGTCACTCCATAATGAAAATATATGGTTTTTAGACTTCAGATAAAGTTAAGACGTCAAAAGCAAAGTTCATTATTAAAATTGTTCAGGTTTTTTGAGTCCCCGCATTTTGGATAGAAGCATTCCATGGTTTGACAACATGGTCAGTGAGGAAGTTGTTTCTTTCTGCACAGTTTTGTACAAGTTGTGTTTTCAGTTGTTTTTTGTGTCCACGCGGTCAGAGAGTTTACTTTATATACTCTGGTTTTGTATTGCTCAATAAGATCTTCACTTTCTCATTGTTTAGTTAGCTTTATCAAGTTAACTCTTGATAGTCTCTGAATAAAAGGCAAGTGTTTGAAGTTGGCAGTATGTGTTGTGGCTTGGATTTTAACTTGTTCAATTTTGGCATTGTCTTGAGCTGGAGCTGGTGGCTTGTATTGCAAATTCTATATGTGGGCAAACGCATGGAGTATACAGTTTGTGCCATAATGCTGAAATTCAACCTCGAAAAGCTTTTCTTGAGCTTGCCAAACATTGGGTTGCCAGCTGATGCAACCACAAAAACTTGTTTTGTAACCTTCAGACTGTTAGTCATAACAACGCCTAGGTCTAGTTCAAATGTTGTACATGACAGCTGATGCAGTTAGCATATCAAGTTATTCATAGTGTAAATTAAAGTAAATTTTTTGGTATTGCTGCGCCTAGGTGCATCATAAAACGCAAGTCAATTTTTTTATCTTTAGTTATTAGGAATCTGTTTAGTAGGGACCCTGTACCCAGCTTTTGTTTTAACTAGAACCTGTATTTAAAATCAAAATCTATTTTTATTATTAATTGTGGATTAAAGGTTGTCTGCTAAATGTTTTTTTAACTACCGTACTCGTTGATGGAAGCAATAAAATTTAACTAGAAGTATTGGACAGTGTTGGAGCAACATAGTAATATAAAAATAGTAATATAAAAACATAGTAATATAAAAAAAATACAACAAGGTCAAAAACACCTATTACAGACTGAATCTTCAAAATCTATTTTGTGTCTGTTTATTATGTCAACAATTTTTTGGCAATTTTTACCTTCCTCCTTCTCGTTGTCAAAAACTTGTCAAAATTCCAGAGCTTGCTTTCTCTCTGTCCTATATAATTACATAAACATTTGATTACTCTTTTTCCCCTTCCCCTTCCCCTTCCCTTACCTTATTAAGAAAATTAAATTGAAGAAAATCTTTTTTTTTTTTAATAATTTAATTTATTTTATAAAGCAAAATTGTTGGCGTCAAATTTTCTTGACTTTTTCCCTTCCTCCTGTTAACAATTGACCAAAACTTATTCCCCTATTTTTTTGAAATAACTAATGGACGTACTGAAACTA